AATAATTAATTAAGTTAACTTAATTAAGTTAATTAAGTTAATTAACTATAGTAGTAGTAGTAGTAGTAGTAGTAGTAGTAGTATACTACTACTACTACTACTCTCTCTCTCTCTCTCTCTCTCTCTCTCTCTCTCTCTCTCTCTCTCTCTCTCTCTGTGGAATCGGGCCAGATCGGGATCGGCCAAAGATCGATTCTGAGTTAGTTAGCCAATTTTAAAAAAATCGGCTGATCTTTTAAAGACTCTTTCCATAACATTCCAAAAACCTTGATAGAAAATGAAAAATAAATAAATAAAAAGGAAAAAGAGAAGAACCAAGCAAACGATGGTGTAGTGTTTCATTGAACAGAAGGCAACCAAAATTTTTGCATGCACTAAAAAAGACAAAATGTCCTATTTCCATCATTACAAATATAACTATATCATGCACTTAAGAAAACATAATTAAAAAAAAATCAAGCAAAGGATCGAGCGACATTATCATGCACTTATCAAAAAGAAAAATCAATTTTATCAAAAAAATAATTTCATCAAAAAGAATAATTTTATTAAGCAAAATAGAAAAACATTTCCCATATTCATCAAAAAACATATTTTTTTTATAAAATCATAATTCTATTAAAAATAATTTTTTTAAGAAAAATAGAAAAACACTTCCCATATTCATCAAAATACATAATTTTATTAAACAAATTTTAGAAAAATCGATTTCTCAAAAACCGCTAAAATCGAGCAACATTTCGAGCAAGAAACGATTCTCAATGTTTGGATAATCGAACAAATAAACATACATGCACTGTAAAGGCTTCGATCATCTTTCAAACGCACCAAATCTCAATAAAACATATTTGGTATTTTTAATTTAATAGAAAAAATGACGGAAATCTCAGATCTATGAAATTTTCATGATATGGTGCAACAAAAAAATTCATATAAAAACATTTAATCAATCATAAATAGACAAACCTATTTTATTTGAGAGATCAAGCCTTAATGATCAAAATACACAACTCAATTTGATAAAAAACGATCAATAAATTGATCAAATATCTGTATTTTTGGATCGAACACAGGTTCTTTGAGCAGCAGCATTTCGGACAAAAA